TTAATTAATTAAACCCCAATTTTTATTGCAAACCTTATCTGACTATGTGAGGTTAATGGGTATATCTCTACCCTATTAAGAAAACCGTCTCTTCAACTTGCAAACTTCAAATTTTCACATGACTAAAATCAAGTTCTACACTCGACCTAACTCTCTCAAGTATCAATCAAGTGAACCCACAATCTCATTGGTGGCTAATCAACAAGAAGCATTAAGTATAAAGTAAAATCAACATAATCATATCATTAACCACAAATATAAAGGGGAAATGAGCACTTAGTCCATATAAAGGTTCAAAATAATCCTAGAATAGAAGCTTAGCTATTCATGTTCAGAACAAAACCATAACTACAAGGAATAGTTATAGCCATATCAGAAAAATGAAGAGGAAAAAGGAAGGAGGCAGCAAAACCAAAGAAAATAGGCTTGAATCTCTTCAAATCTTCAATTCTTGGCTTCCATAACTCTAAATTCCTCAACCCCTAGCAGAGCAACCTCGTAAAATGAGCTCCCAAAGGTGAAGAATGGTGAAAACGGTGCACCCCTTCTTGTTTTATAGCATATGAAGCCCTAGATCAATTCTGTCATCAAAACGCATAGCTTCACCATGTCTCCGTTGGCTGCAGCCAATATTTTCCTTGGCTACGACTAATTATTCTCTAGAATGCTATTGGCTGAGACCAACAGTGCTCTGTTTTGCATCTCCTATTTGCTTGATTATTTTCATTGTCTTGTGGCTTCCTAAGCATTTCATGGGGATTAATATTTGCTTTAAATGGCTCCATTAGCAAGCTTAACCTATGTAACAAAATTATGAAAGCCAAAGTTGATGAACTTATGGGCAAAATATTCACTTTTAACCAAAATTCCAAAATTTTAGCCCAAGTATCAATTGTGCACATTTTCCTTTCATGAGTGCATCCAAATATGCATTAGTTTACCAAAAAGTGTAATAACTAAAGGAAAATGTGATGAAATAACATGAATTTCACAAGGTTAACACTGAACCCACCTAATGAGATAAGGCTTAATTGTTGTTGTTGTTAGAAAAATTGCACTTATAATCATCTAACTTTATATCAGAATTTGATTTAATTTCTTAATTTTATAAAGTATCTTTTCAATTCTTTACTCCTAACATTGTTAAATTTCATTAACAAAAAAAATGTTGACACTACAATTCCAAATTCTGACACTGCTTATGTTAACTCGTTTTCTATTTAGTGTTTTATTTATTTCAGATATAAATTAAAACAAAAACACATTCTGTACGGCTTGAATCTATATTTAAAAAACACCATTTCCTTACATTCTGATATCTTGGATAAAAAAATTATAAAATTATAAAATTATAAAATAAAGTAGAATATAAGCATTTTAAATAAAATATAAACACTTGTATCTTTGAAACATGGAGAGATCCATTTGGCTTGATCAGCACTATTTTTTCAGCGGAAGTTAAAGTTATTTACTTCTTTTTTTTCCGGTCCATAAAGTTATTTACTTCAACATGAACCTATACAGTAAAATGTTCAAGACGTTTTCTTGAAAAGAAAAGTGAATCTTTGATGGGGGAAATTGCTCAAGAATAGTCAAAGGGCATTCTTATCAAACTCACAAGTTAATCCTTTGAGTTTAATGTTTGTACCCTCAGCTGGTAAAAACATGGTGATTCGCTCTTATACTTATTTTAGTTATAAGCTCAGTTGAACTTGCGAGGTCACTCATTAAGTTTACCATTTTTACATTTTTTGTTTACACAATCATGTCAATTTGCTCATAAACTCATACTGAATTTTTTTATTTAGTTATTTTTAGTGACTTTATATACGAATTTCATAAAAATATATTTATTAAATGTGATAAATTATGAATGTTGATGGATTTAATTTCAATTATTTGGATTTAAAATGCATTTAAATAAAATTGTTGTCATTTTTATATTTTAATTATTTAAGTATATACTTTTAATACCAGTTTATTAATAAAAATAAACTCTTATAAGTTTACAATCTGAGTTTATATTCTCATCACAATTTTGTTTTAAACTCACAAGTTTGACAACTATGGCAAAGACAAATGCAATGCTTAGGCATGATTAACTTGCGGATTTTGATTCTTACAGAATATCCTCTTTCTCTTTTTTTTTAAAGAAATCCCTTCTCCACTTTAAGATTAAAATAATGGATGCTTTAGATATAATATTTTGTAAAAATATTAATAATTTGAATTTATTTATTCATATTTTAATAATATTATAATAATTTTTTATAAGATATTACATCTGAATGGTCCAATTTTTTGATCTAAAGGTCAGGAAGGAATTCAGAGATGAAAAAGAAATGGAGGATTTTTTTTAACAAAAAGAAGAATTTAAAAAGGCGGATTTTGAGAGATCCTCAACCTGCGTTCTTAATTTATTTTATTTTTGCCAACACTTAATTTTATATTGATACTTATTTCCGATCAAATCAAGACGGCGTATTTCTTTTTGAGTATATTAATTATATTTTTAGCTTTTTCAAAAGTTAAAAATATACTTTAATCCTTTAATTTTATAAAAGTTTTCATTTTGGTCTTTTAACTTCGTTTAAACAATATATTTTTAATCCTATAAACCTAAAAAACGTTAATAAAAAATGGTGACATTGAGATCTTAAAAATAAATAAAATATTCTCAAATGTTAACATATTAAGTTTAATTTTCAAAACTACCATGATAGTTACAAAAAAAAATTAGTTAAGGCTAATAATTTCAGGGTTAAAAGATTAAAAAGATATTTTAAAATTAAGAAACCAAACTGAAACCTAATATAAAATTAAAAGACAAAATGTGCACACTTGCGTTTTTCAAAATTTAAAGGTCACTTATCACCATTTTTTTTAAAAAATAAATACATTAAGAATATCAGAATAAATATGTAGTTCTTCTCCAGAAATGGATGCACAAATGAAGCGAATCTGGGATTCGTTGCCATTATCAAGGAAGTGGCATATGGAATGTGTAATACAGGCCAGATGTAATATGGAATGTGTCAATTTTAATTAAATCATGATTATTTTTTAATTTAAACTTAAAGCCACTATGGAATGTAAGATTCAATTTATACGATTAAATTAGTTATAAAAAAATCTATCCAAATTTTTAAATGGGAAAATCCCAACTAAATCCAACCAAAATACTTAAATTTAAAATTAAGCCTACACTTTTAAAAAATTCTTAATCAGGACATGAGGCCTAATTAGAAATTTCTTAATATTGTTAAATAATCAGAATGAACCTCTTTAATTATAAAGGAAAATTAATTATTTTATCCATCCCAAGTGGTAAATCATCTCTTATTATTAATATTTAGACAAAAAAACATAAATAATTTTTCAGTGTTTGCAATTTTGTATATATAACCAAAACCTTCAAAATATTTTAACAAAACATTTTTAAATTATAATATAAGCAGCCTTTAAATAAAATTTTTTCTTTTTAGGTTGTATATATTTATTTTAAGACTGTAAAATATTTTAATTACAAGAAATATTTGATAGTAAGTTGTTATAATTTACATTTTCAGCTGGATCCAACATTGTTCAAATAAATAAAACTAATGTAAATTATGAGAACTGAAAATAAAAAATATTTATTTAGAGGCTAATTATATTTGTAATTTAACATGTTTTGTTAAAATATTTAATGGTTTTAGTATATAAATACAAATTTGAAACACTCTGAAATTACTTATATATTTGTTGTTGTTGGTCTCAAAAAATAATTATAAGAAATGAGGGATCACTTGAGAGGAGTAAAATAATCAATTTTTTTAATTAAAGTGGAAATTCTAGTTATTTAATAATATTCAGAAATTCTTAATTAGGCCTCATGGCCTGATTAGAAATTTGTTAAAAGTTTAGACTTGAATTTAGATTTAGGTATTTTGGTTAGATTTAATTAGAATTCTGCCTTTTGAATTGTTATCTATAATTTAAAATTAATTCTTTTATTCCGTTTACATCTATTTGATAAAAATAGCCCAATTTTTTATTTTTCTTTTTTCGTGAATCATATTTTTTTCACTCATCAGTCGAGAGGCCGGTTTTCATTTTTTTTTTCCCAGTTAGTTTTTGTGGACAGTAGTTATATGATTTTATCCAATCAATTATGAGTTTTCTTGGCAAAAAATAATACTTTTCTTTTAAACTTAACACTCAAAATATTTTTTTTCTTATATTTTATACCTTTCAACATGAAAAAAAAAAAATCTCAATTATAAAACTAAAATATGGACAATTCCATTAAATAACGAAATATTTGAAGTTTATCTTTTAAGTGATCAAAGTTCCAGATTTTCATATGATATCTTCCGGCTTATTCTTTGAGCACATGTAAAATAAAGTTAACAATGATGTCTTAATCGTGTCAATATGCATGCACTTAAAAAATAAAACGTGCATACACTGAATAAGTCAATTCAGTACCTAACTTTTTGTCAATAAATTTTTTTGGACCTTTTTTGTCAATATATATGTACGTAACAAATAAAATGTGCATGTATGATTTTTAATAATTGATTTAAAACTTGAATAAGTCAAATTGGGTGCCTAACTTTTGTCATGATATATGTACGTACATCAATTAAATCCATTATTTTATTGGCAAAAAAATCCCACCATTTTATTAAGGGCGGCTAACGGAGTGGCACAGAGATATTGGGAAAAAAATTAACAATCACATTTTTGTCCAATTTTGTAAGCTAAAACATACAAATGATAAACTCAATGAGTAAACTCGTAAGTTTAACTGAGTTTACAGTACAAGTGTAAGAGCAAGTAGATATGATTTTACAAGCTGAAAATGTAAAAACATTGAACTTGAAGTATCAAACTCAAGTTTGACAACAATGGTTGTGGCTCTATATATATGGGGGAAATGCTGTGCACAAGAACTACAACCCAAACGCTTGATATCTGTCACCTTTTAGGGCAAAATGAGTTCCCTAATTACAAAGATGCTCCTCCTTTTCGTGGTTTGGTATGCTTTGATTTGCTTCACTTCTGGTTTTCCTAATGAAAATTTCATTTCGAATCTAGATCTTGACAAGTTCACTTCTGAGAAAGAAGTCTATGAACTTTTTGAAACGTGGAAGAAGGAGACTGAACGAGAATACCAAACCCTAGAAGAGGAGGTGATGAGATTTCAAATTTTCAAAAGCAATGTAGAGAATATCAAAGAGGAAAATGCAAAAAGAAAGTCACCCTATGAATATCGTCTAGGTTTGAACAAGTTTTCTGATATGAGTTATGAAGAGTTCAGCAACATCTATTTACGTGAAACAAAGGGGCCAAATATCAAAAGCAACATGGGCGATAAGGTGTTCAATAATGAATCATGTGTTGCACCTTCTTCTTGGGATTGGAGGAAAGAAGGAGCTGTAACTTACGTTAAAGACCAAGGCCAATGTGGTTAGTTTGAATTGACTCTCTCTCTCTCTCTCTTTTCTTTTTTTTGCTTATAACCTGCATAAAGCAAATCAAAACCATTTTTACAGGTTCTTGTTGGGCATTCTCTGCGACTGGAGCCATTGAAGGTATAACTCAAATAGTCACACAGTGTCTTCCTAATCTTTCTGAACAACAACTCGTATCTTGCGATAAGAATAACTCTGGTTGTGAAGGAGGGTCGTATTGTAACGCATTTAGATATGTCTTAGAGAATGGGGGTATTGCCACAGAAAGAGATTATCCATATATAGGTAAAGATAGTCCCTGCAATCACACAGAGGTTAGTGTCTTTCATTTCCCTTCACATCTTTGCTTAGGTCAATTCCAAACTTTGAAGATGTGTGTGTGTATATATTGCCTAATTTTGGTTTTACATTGATTTTTTAATTTTGAAACAGGAAAAAAAGATCTTTGCTACTATTGATGGCTACCGTTGTTGGGTGACACCTATATCAGAAGAGTCTCTCCTTTGTGCTGTTTACACACAACCTATTAGCGTTAGCATCTATGCAAGCCCACACTTTAAGTCCTACAAAAGCGTGAGTCATTTATATCTTTATTATGCGCTACTAAATTGGATGGGCTTATTGTTGAATTCTCTGTCCTGGACTTCAATTCAATTTGATATATATATATATATATATATATATGTATGTATACATATAATATTAAGAAGAATTGGCGCCATTCATTACTACATAGTATATTCTTTTCCTCCATTGCTACGGTATTCTTAGTTTGCATGTTCTTTTAAGTTTCATGTCCCCCTGAAGGTGGGGAAAAGTTATTCTAGTTGACTTAAAGCAGTGTAAAAAAAACCGGACCGGACCGGCCGGTTCAACCGGTAAACCGGTGAACCGGTCAGTGGTCCGGTCCGGTTCATAAGCTAAACCGGGGACCGGTTCAAACCGGATTGAACCGGTCAAACCGGTGTGAACCGGTTTAAATAAATATATTGATATTTATCCTATTTTTTCTCATTTAACTCCTAATATCTCAATTATTATAGATTTAAATGAATTTTGATGATGAGTTTGGCATCAATAACTATTAATTTTAGTTATTGAAAAAATTATAAAGATCAAAATTCTCAATATTGTTGTACTTTATTATTATTACAATCAAATTCTTATTGTATTTCTTTATATTTTGTTATTAGTAATTATTATTATTGTTATATTTTGTCATTTTTAATTAAATTAAATTATTTTAATATGACCGGTTTGATCCCGAGTTGACCCCGGTCTGACCCATTAACCCTTGAACCACTACCTCAACCGGTTTAGTGTCCGGTCCGGTTTTTTGTTCCTTGACTTAAAGTACTACATCAGGTCCTTAATATAATAGCTAGTTTAACATTTAATTTGGTCCTAAATATAAGACTCTAATTTACTTTATCTCTCATATTTATTCTTTTTTTTTTAAAGTAGTCCATGTAGAAGTTAACATGTTAAAGGTTTCATCAAATGTCAGTTTTAGCGACTACACATGATTAGCAATGGTATTTTAGGAAAGATAACACCTATTTATTACAAATAACTAATTTAACAAACTTTATTAATCTACTCCAATTAATCAACTAGCTCTTATATTAAGGAGTAGAGGTAGTATAAATTAATTTTTTGTTAACTCATGGGATCATCAATCAAGTCATACCTTATGCACTATTCTTCAATGCACAAGATGTATTATCGAAGTTAAAAGATGTTTTATTTGGCAGGGAATATTTACTGGGGATGATTGCTCATCTGTTGCTTCATGTGCACATAATCATGCTGTATTAATCGTGGGATATGGTTCATCGGAAGATCAAGATTACTGGATCGTCAAAAACTCGTGGGGAGACTCCTGGGGACAAAACGGTTACATCTTCATCAAAAGAAATGCTGGTACTACTGAAGGAGTATGTAATATCAATTGTCGAGGTGGTGCCCCCTACAAAAATAAGAACACACCACTTCTGAAACTTGATTCCTCTATATGAAACCCACCTACGGCAATAATAGTAGGAAAAGAAGCCAAGCAATACATGGTTATGTGTTGGGCATCGTGAGCCTCGCACACCGTATATGTATTTGGTGTATATATATATAAATGGTAAATTATTTGCCTTTAAATAAAGCTTTTGTAAAGCCTTGATTATGAATAAAAGCTCTATTTGTGCTTCAACTGTTGCACTGAGAAAACGTATATAACCGAGTTAGACACTTGCATGAGATGTTTCTCTTCAATCGGCACGGTTTGATGAATGCCGTTTATGGTTTATGTATATACATACATACATATATAATGTGGTTATTTTATTTAGATTTTTAGTTATACTTTGCTTCAGTATAAATTCGTCCCTGTTATTCTGCGTGCTCCCCCTTATTCTGTTAACTCATGAGAGTGCGTGCTTATGCAAATATAAAAAATTGAAAGCAAATGTGTAAAAGTAGAGAAATCTACACAATTGAGATATCCTGGCTCCGTTTCCTAACCTATCTTTAGTTCCCTTGAAATTTCTAAGAGATTTTTCTCCCATAATCGACAAGCACAATTCCTATAGGTTTTTACTACATATTTTTTGTAGGAAATTACATGAAAGTTGCTGCATATAAATATTGGCTTCATAAACCTATACCTCCCATCGTTTTCAAGCAACATGTCATTGATTCCTTATACGCAAGCCTGCTCTTTAAGTACTACAAGTGTGTAAAGAAGTAATAATTTTACCAACTAGAGTTAGGTCTAGTGGAAGAGATTACTTTCTTATATTGTAACAAACTAATATTCGAATCCTCACTAGATGAGGTGTCCATATTTAGTGACTAACAGTGTCTTGAATAAAATTACTTCCAATAAAAAGATACTGTGCGTTGCAAGCAAACAAAAAAATTATATTTCCATTACCTCATTATTTTGTCTCCATCATCCAATAAGACACATTTGAAAAGTGATTATTACTCGTTCTTTTTTTTCCCCTAAAACCTGACAGGAAATATGTGGGGACGATAGCTGAGGCATCGCTTCACGTAAAAATAATTATGTTGCATTAATCCAAATTTTCCAACTTCACCACTACTCTGTATAGTACCCACTATTGATTAGTTATTTTGAATTAGAGACAAGTAATTTTAACATACGCCTTGGGAATTGAGCGCAAAATACATTAATTGCACTTAACATGATGTAAAATTCCTTGCAGATTGAAATATAGGATTTTTCATAAAATACTACCCATGATTCTTAGTATAAGAGGAAGCTACTTTAACTAATTTAGGGAGCTAGATTAAAGAAGTTAAATAAATTAGTTAGCTATAATAAATGTGATAAGATTTTTCTAAAATACTCATATATAATATTAGATTTTATATTAGTTTATAAGTTAGATAAATTAGCTTGAAAAAAATGATAAATATGAGAGACAATGTGAATTAACGTATTATATTTAGAACCAAATTTATTCTCACACTTTGCTTCTATATTAGGAACAGGAGACAGATCACCTTATATTTCAACACAAGCAGTGCATATACCTGGCCTATAAAAAAAATATATGGGGCATACTGAAATATTCATCTTAATTAATTGGGTAATTTGTTTACCGTCATTTAAAAAGTTGCAATTCGTAAGCTTGCCAGCACTTTCATAACAATTTAAAAAATATGTTAAAAAATAGTATGAAAATGTTAACACCCCCCCCCCCAAAAAAACAAACAAGCAAAACAAACAAAAAAAAACAGAAAAGCCGACGAACTGGTTCATAGTTACGGTTTGGATATTAATACCTGTGCCTGTCCCACATGAATAAAATTGTAAGATCATTGACAACCAGCAGGGAGTTAAAAATATTTTTCCTTGCTTCAATTCAATTTTAAATTTTATAAATAATTACAATTTGTAAACTTCACTATCAATCTGAATCCATCATGAAAATTCAAAGGCTATAAATTAAAAAAATTACGGATGCTAATAGTGTTAACAGAGTAAAATTAGAGTGTTTAATTAAGACCAAAATACACACGGGTATCAAATTAAAAATTAAAAGAAAATATAAGTACCTTCAAAATTGTTTTCAAAAAAAAAAAAATACAAGAAAGCCAGTTCAGTACGTGGAAGCTGAGTGTAACACTCTTGTTGTAAGTTTTTAGGTTTAATGGCATTTGGATTATCTTAATAAATGCTAATTAATTTTGATAAGCTCGATGTTTATTGTTATAATGAGATCTATGCTGTTCGAAAACAATTTCTTTTTAAAAAATATAAGTAAAAAGTAAAATTCAATTTGAATTGTTCAAATTAGACCAAGCGTGAGGCTTCAATCTCACCCAAATTCAGACCCTTTTAGGAGCAGGCACTTCTGTTTTTTTTTTTTTTTTGGTGACAGGAGCAGGCACTTCTGAAGAAAGAGGCAATGTGATCTTAAAGAGTATATATGAAGAAACTTGCTTTAATTTTCTCGAAGTTAAGAAAGTATATTGTTGTTATCAAGATAATTTTCAAGGCTAAGTTTTAAATTGTGCCAAAAGTCCGATGAGTTAGTTTTAAAATTATTCAGGCCACTTTTGGAGAAATAAACCTTTCGTAAACTTTCTAAACTCTCAAAATAATATTTCATAATGTTTCTCCAAATTTTATTAGGCATTAAATAGTTTTGAAAGACTAAAATGCCCTTTCATGGAAAACCAAAAAGAATATTATTTTCAAAAAATTGACATTGCTTAATATAATACTTTATACTAACTCTAATATATTGATAAGAAATTTATGGGAACATAGACTTCTTTTTTTTCTTCTTTGGTAATGGGAACAAGGACCTTTTAATTACCAAATTCCAACACTGTTAAATTAATAATTTCTTGAAGGAAATGTGTTTTTATAGTTAAAAATTAGAATCTTAATGTATTAGTAGATTTCAACATCAAATTTGTCACTTCTTTCTTAAGTACTTTGCTATATCTATAATGTAGACGTTCTCGTCATGTTATATCTTATAATCTCATCACTAAAATTCATACTAATAATTAATATGAACTTGTATTAAAAATCTAAATAATTTTTTTAAAATTTGATTGGACAGATGAAGTAATATGAATTGTTTAATATAAATTTATGCAAAAAAAATTCATTTTTGTCTTTTAAAAATATATGAAGCAAGAACGTATGAAGATAATAGATCATTTGGGGCATATTAAGAAAAAAGAAATTAGGTCATAAATTGATTGGAGCAATTATCAATTTGCTAACTTAAAAGGGCATTTTCGTTTTTTTAACAGTATTAAAAAAAATCCTCAATAAGGCCTCTTGGCCTAATTAGGAATTAGTTAAAAGTACAGGCATTAATTTGAATTTTGATATTTCAATCAAATTTAATTGGGATTCTACCTAATTTAATTTTTCTTAAATTCTTGTTCGAAATAAGCTTTTTGGCCAATAATTCACTTTTGAGGCATTTAAAGCCTCAAATATATCTCTGAAATCTCTTTTTTACTTTTTATTATTTTTCTCTAATTTCTGGGTACTTTTCTGTAATCATACTTTTGCCCAGTCTTTACTCTTATTTATACTTTTTGACCATGAACTCTTCATAGTTTCAACTCTTAGGTCAACTTGACTTATTCAGCAAGAATTCAGATTTGGGACGTTACAAAGTACAAACACAACTTCATTTATTTTTAACCAAGGCTTTATATAAGCTTTATTCGAAGGCAAATTATTTGGCATTTATTTATACACCAAATACATATAAAGCTAGTTTACATGGCTCATCACAATGTCAAACACAACTATATATTGCTTAGCTTCTTATTTTGCTTTTGTAGGTGGCACTACTACAGAATTACAAATACTTGACGCTAAATACTTGATGGTTATAACAAAAACCGTCAAATATGGTGAGGCGGAATTTGCAAAAAAAAAAAAATTGACAGTTTTAAAAGGAACAGTCAATTTTCCTTTGAGAATGCTTGACGGTTTTAAAAGAAACCGTCAAGTATTCGTGGAAAATATTTGATGGTTCCTGCAAGATACTGAGTTGTTGTTCAGAAAGATTAGGAAGACACTGTGTGACTATTTGAGTTATTCCTTCAATGGCTCCAGTCGCAGAGAATGCCCAACAAGAACCTGTGAAAATGGTTTTCATTAGCTTTATGCAGGTTATAAGCAGGGGGGGGGGGGAAGAGGGTCAACTCAAACTAACCACATTGGCCTTGGTCTTTAACGTAAGTTACAGCTCCTTCTTTCCTCCAATCCCAAGAAGAAGGTGCAATACATGATTCATTATTGAACACCTCATCGCCCATGTTGCTTTTGATATTTGGCCCCTTTGTTTCACGTAAATAGATGTTGCTGAACTCTTCATAATTCATATTAAAAAACTTGTTCAAACCTAGACGATATTCATAGGGTGATTTTTTTTTTTGCATTTTCCTCTTTGATATTCTCTACATTGCTCTTGAAAATTTGAAATCTCATCACCTCCTCTTCTAGGGTTTGGTATTCTCATTTAGTCTCCTTCTTCCACGTTTCAAAAAGTTCATAGACTTCTTTCTCAGAAGTGACCTTGTCAAGATCTAGATTCGAAATGAGATTCTCATTAGGAACACCAGTGGTGAGACAAATCAAACCATACCAAACCACGAAAAGGAGGAGCATCTTAGTAATTAGAGAACTCATTTTGCACTAAAGGTGACAGATATCAAGCGTTTGGGTTCTGGTTCTTGTGCATAGCATTTCCTCCATATATATAGAGCCACAACCCCTAATTTAAACTATAAAATTCCTCTATTTTTATACAAATATACAAAAGCCTAGCATCCTTACATATGCAACACAAATTTAAAATGTTCATACTTGCTATATTTTTATTATGACATTTTTCTTATTTGGAAGAAAACCTTAGGTTTTATAAATGCACTACACATCTCTTGAAGCAGAAGAGTCTAGTTTTTCTCTGGGTAAAGTATCATATCAGTTATTTACACTTTTTAATCAAAAGAATCTATAATGTGAATGGACATAAGGTGTAAAAATATTAATAAAAATATGTAAATATTAAAAATGTAAACTGTCTTCAGTTTTTATTTAAATTGTTATTATTTTAATATTTAATATTTTTATTGTACTATTAAAATACAAGTGAACTGCGTTGACTGTCGTTCACATTAAAATAAGAATTTTAAATGACAAATTGGTTTGTTTTATATAGTCTTATATGAGATTTTTGGTACTTCAATTCGATGGTATGCGAATAATAACAATATGTGACGTCATTTCTTATTATTATTATTATGGATCAACTATATACATTCGTGACAGCAAGAAGGGCGCCTAAAAAAAAAATATTAATAACTCTTCAACCTTGAAAAACAACAAACTTACCAAAATTAATTAACATTTATTAAGATAATCCAAATGCCATTAAAACTAAAAACTTACAACAAGCGTGTTACACTCAAACTCCCACTTATTGAACGTTCCTCGTAATTATCCTGTGCGGGGGACTGATCCGTCGGGTTCGGACTGACCCGCCTTCATATATACTTTTTTATAGCCTTTGAATTGTCTTCGTAAATTCAGATTGATAGTGATGTTTACAAATTGTAACCATTTATATAAGTTAAAATTGAATTGAAACACGGATAAATATTTTTAACTCACTGGTTGTTAATGATATTATAATTTTATTCATGTGGGACAAACGCAAGTATTAATATCCAACCCATAACTTAGCTATACTACGAGCCAGTTCGCCAGTTTGGGGGTTAGGATATTCGTACTTTTTTTAACATTTTTTTTTGAATTTTTATTAAAGTCTAGGCAAGCTTACAAATTGTATTTTTTTAAATGATGGTAGCTTGAAACGGTTAAACAAATTACCTAATTAATTAAGATGAATATTTCAATATGCCAAATATATATTTTTAATAAAATCCATGTACTACGTGTGTTTATGTAAACGGTGCTCCACTGTTGCTCCCTCTTGTCCCTAATATAGAACCTAGCTGGGAGAATGAACTTGGTTATAAATACTCCTCCGGTCCTTAATATAAGACCCATTTAACTAATTTGATTAGATTAAGGAAGTTAGGTAAGCTAGTTAATTATAAGAAAAGTGAAAAGTGATACATTTTTCCTAAAACACCATAATCATCTTTCTTAATATCCTCTCTCCCTCTTCTACTTGATTATGGTTGAGGGAGTATCCATAGGGGTAATTTAGAGAAAATTGATAAATATGAGAAATGGGTTTTATATTTAGGACCAAAACCAACTCAAGAATTGGGTCCTATATTAAGGACCGGAGGAGTATAATACATTAATCTACTTTCTCTTTCGTGTCTATCATTTTTTTCAAACCAATTATCTAGCTAGCCAACTTATAAACTAATATATAATCTAATATTATATATGTACATTTTAGGAAAATCATATTATATTAATTATAATTAAATAATGTTTTATTTAGCTTTCTTAATCTATCTAAATTAGTAAAATAGCTCTTATATTAAAAACTAGAGGTAGTATTTTATGAAAAATATAACCCTATATTTCAATATGTAAAGCATTTTACATCATGTTAAGGTGCAATTAATGCTGGGTATTACAGAGCAGTGAAGTTGAAAAAATTTTACAAATTACCCTAGGTATCTATTAAAATTACTTCCCTCTCATTCAAAATCAATGCTGGGTATTACAGAGCAGTGAAGTTGAAAAAATTTAGATTAATGAAACATAAGTATTTTTCACATGAACTAGCAATCGTCCTCTTTAAATATTTCCCGTCAAAGTTTTAAAAAAAAAAGAAGCAATAATCACTTTTCAAATGTGGGATCATGGAGACAAAATGATGAGGTAATCAAAATATGACTTCTTACAGATTTGTACTCCACTTATCCTATTTATAAGTTACTTTTAATATGTTTCACATAAACTAAAAAAAGAATCAAAGTTTATTAACTCTTATTTAAAATTTAACAACTTTCTAACTTTGTCCTTATTTAATATAAGATCTCGTTTGACTTTTATTTGGGTCCTAAATATAAGACTCTAATCCACTTTGTCTCTCATATTTATACAATTTTTTCCAAGATAGTTCTTCTAATAATTGTAGTTTTAGCCAACACACTTGATTAGCAAGGATGTTATAGGAAAAACAACATCTATTTATTGCAAATAACTAACTTAACTTATTTCCTTAATCTCTTCAAATTAGTCAACCAGTTTTTATAATTAGGACCGAAGGTAGTACAATAATAAATAAAGAATAAAATTGTACGTTCGTATAAAAAAAATCTTTGTCTACCTTATAAATAAGGCCAAAAATTTTATTCTCTCTCTACTCTCTAAGTAGGACAAGAGGAGTAGTACTTTAAAAGCAGGCTTGCATATATGGAATCAATAACATGTTGCTTGAAAACA